CAGCCTCCACCATGCCCCTTCTGTTCCCCCACCCCTCCCATCACAACAGACTTACCAGCCGGACACTGTTCTTCAAGCTGCTGGGTGGCGTATCCGAAATCAGAATGGTATCAGCTGATATGCCTTCTTAAAAATCTGCTATTGGTATTGGCCCAAAAAATCTCTATCAGTACACCCCTATTTAGTGCTGCGACACAGTACAGAACCAAACAAAAACTATATTAAGTAATGACAATATATAGCAAAGTTCACACAGTCTCGACATCTAAGTCAGGATTGCTTATAACAACATCCACTCTCTTACCAGCTCCATGATTGAACCCCATGGTAGTAATAATGCAAAATCCACTGTATTGCCTGAACGTAACATTCAGCCTGATCAGCCAGAAAGTCACTTAAAACAGAAAGAAAAATTAGGCATTACGCTTTTTTCTTCCATGGTACTTTTCACCTGGTTTTACTGTTCACCAGCACACTAAGATTCAAGGTACAATTTTGTGGAAAAACCGTGCACCACACAGTCCACTTGGGCCACTCTCAGAATCTGGATCATAGGGAAGTAGGGCAGGAAGGGACTTCATATGGGCATTCAGACCAGCCCCTTGCTCAAAGCAGGACTGCCCCTCACTAAACCATCCCAGCCAAGTGTCTGTTCAACCTACTCCTGAGAACTTCCAAGGACAGGGATTCAGTAAGTTCTTTAGGTAGCCTGTTTCAGTGATTAACCACCCTCATGGTAAGACATTTCTTCCTAATCTCCAACAAAGTTCCTCTGCTGCAGCTTGAGACCACTGCTTTAGGTTCTGTCCTCTATGGCCACAGAGAAAAGCATACCTCCATCTTCTCTATAATGACTCTTCAGATATTTGAAAACTGCTATCAAATCCTGCCTCAGCCTTCTGTTCTCCAGAGTAAATAATCCTACTTCTTTCAGTCTTTCCTTATAAGTCTTGCTTCCTAGATCTCTAATCATTTTTATGGTTCTTCTTCCCTAGACTCCTTCTAATCTGTCCACATCCTTATTGAAGTACGGGGCCCACAACTGGACACAGTACTGCAGGTGAGGCCTCATCAATAATCAACAGAGCTGAAGAATCACTTCCTTTGATTTTCAAGGGATGCTCTTGTTAATACAAACTAGTATGCTGTTGGCTTTTTTTTTCCAACAAGAGCACACTCTTGGGTAATGTTCAGTTTATGGTCCACTGTAACCCCCTGCCCAGTCCTTCTCTAAGTAGTATCAATAGATCTTCCGTCTGGTACAGGAGGACTTATCACAACACCCTTCCTTCTCCTTATGTCAATCAGAAGCACCACCACTAGTTATAACACCAAGGGATCCCTCCCTAGAGCATGGCCAAGTGTGTTACCTTTGTTTTCTTACACTTACTCTGAAACTATGTCGACACCCATCTTAGTCATATAGTAAGTTCTCTTGTATTGCCTAAACTCAGTCTCGAACAGGTCATCATCTTCTGGTTCATCTTCTAATACTTCTGAAACTAAGCCAAGAAAGAGTTGGACTAACATTAATCATTGTATCAAAACAAGAAGATTCCAACTCATTAAGGCTAAATACAGACAGTTAGGGGGAGGTTAAATTTGCTGCCTGATTCAAATCAGGCCGCCAATATCAGGTATTGGCTGCCAATTTCAGGTAAGTAAGGATGGGGGATTACTGGGGAGGGTTGGGGGTTCAGCAGGCAGGAGGAGATAGAGGGGGGAAGGC